ACACACACACACACACGCACACACACACACACGCACACGCACACGCACACGCACACACTCACACACACGCGCACGCTAAAACACACACGCATACACACACACGTATACACAAACACGCACATTGTCATAAACACACACAGAGAGAGAGAGAGAGTTATGTACCTATTGTATTATAAAATTTCTTATGAAATATTGTTTTGTTTCGAAAGAGAACAATTTAAAGTAATAACATGTATTATAAAAAAAATATAATATTACTTCTCAGTCTACACTTTTAAATACTTTTACAAGACATTCCTGATGACGATAAAATACTTTCTTAATTATGCAAAATTTAGTATTAAAGAGTTGAAATAAAACTGATTTCAGGTAGATCTAGGTCTACTTTACAGATCCTTTAGTAACTTTGAAAAAGTAATCTTTTACATTAAGACTATCTCTTTAAATGGAAAGAAAAAAAAACGAAAAAAAGGACAATGAAGAAGGAAGCGATATAACTAAAACACGACTGCAACGGGACATCACTCTGATAATATTTACTTTTTACCCCAGCCAGCACTCCTGCACAGCAACTCCAGCAAAAAGAACCTTTTTGTGTGTACTGTGTACAAGTACAAGTCTAGTGCACTAACATATATACATAATGTACATAGTGAAGGCCTGCAAAATTCTATCTAATCCAGAGTAGTACCCAGTAGGGCTGGATCCAAGCAGATCGGGTCAGATACTTTGTCTTCAAAACCACTCATACTCCAAGCCCAACCACCACTGCCACTGTGCAGTTGTTCGCTCAGACCCAGTGTAAGAAAGGCCACCTTTATTTGGTGAGAATAACCCATGTCTCGCTATTCTCACACACACACCCCTCCCCCCCCCCCCCAAGTGAGAAATCCCGGTGTGGGCATGAGGCGAGGACCTCCACTGACCTCTCGCAGGCCGATAAAGTCACCTAGCCTAGGCCCTTCTAAAACGAATAGTCATAGTCTAGAGTCAGAGTGTAATAATAGATCTAATGTTAAAACATTTTTCGCCTCTCCAGTAAAAAAAAAGGCTCACTACCGACACTGAGCGGGATGTGGGACTGGCCGCCGGCCGGACCATTTGTTGTTTACACACTTAACGATGGCTGGCCTCTCTACACATAATATGGTTCAAGGAACAGAGAGCGTGTACGAACGTAACGACATCATGAGCACGAGACCATGCTCTTTTCACGATGGTTGAAGGGTTGTAAATTATTCATACCCAATGGACAAGGGCGTTAATTATAAACAATCCAAGCTTTTTTTTTTTTTCTATTGCCTCTTCTGTCCCAACATTTGGAGTTTGGAGCGAAAAAAGAGCCAGAGAGCCAAATGAAATTCTCCGGGCCAGACGCGGTCCAAATAGAGCCAAATTTCTGGGATTTGGCTCCAATTTGACATCCCTGACTGTGACTAGATCTTAGATGTATGTCTATTCGAACACCAACTCGCTCTTGTGGAGTATTAGCCCCGGTAACCTCAGCCCTGATCCCTCTTGGGTATTTTCCGGTAAAACAAGGGAGGGGGTGAGAATAGCGAAACATTACATTCTCTGTTTCAGTAAGAAAACGACACACTCACAGGTAGATCTAGGCCTAAGGCCTAGTTTAATTACTAGATCTCTAGATCAAGACCTAGAGTCCAGAATTATGATCTGAGAATTTTACTTTGAAGGCCTACTTTGGAATACCAGCCAGGAGCCCCAAGGGAAAACTGAACTAAACTAGAGTTGTAGTCTATCTTTAACTAGAGCCTATATATATATATATAGAGGTAAAAGAAATGAAGGCTACTGACGGAATAGGAATATTATTTAGGAAATGCCTATTTGCAACGCCGCGTTACCATTAGCGCCAGTGCTAAACCAGTGCTAAATAAAACGCTGTGTCGCCGTGTGTAAAATATCAAGCTTAATTTGCTCATCGTTATCGGAAGTTCTGATGACCAAAGTGACAGCGCGTCTACGCTTGAAGTCAAACCATTAATTTTTAGCGTGGGTTCGATCCCGGTCCTGGACGGGGGGTTTTTTTCTTTTTTTTTTTTTGTTGTTGTTTGTTGTCTTCTTCTCGACTGACCAACAAATTGTTCCCATAATTATATCTTGTTGCTTTGTAGTTTTTTTTATGTAGTGATGAAGCATGCACATTCTGGTTTTGTCCCCAAGAGGAGCTCTCTGTACAAAGTAGGCCTTAGTATAGCCTATACTTTTCGTTTTACCATTTTAGGCCTGGTTAAAGTTCAGTAGTGGCTTTCCTTGGTCTGTGAGTCTAATATTTTTTATTTTTTTATTTTAGGCTCAGGAGAAGGAAAAAAAAAATCCTTTCGGGACCGGGATTCGATGCCACGCTTGGAAGCACTGAACATTAGACTTAGAGAACGTAGACAGTAGACAGCTTGTATACGTTCTCAAGGCCTAACTTAAAGTTTGAGTTGCACCGTCTTGTTATTGTTATTCAATGTTATCCAAGCGTCTTTCGACTCAAACTCTAACTCAGATGATTATGATAATGAGAGATGAACAAGACGTCTACTTTTGTGCAAACAATGTCAGAAATAATTGTTAGATCTAATCTAGATCTAGATTTTTGGAGATCTAGATCTAACCAATATTGATCGGAATAAGCCATAAAAAAAGGAGTCAAATCCTAGGAGGTTTATCAAAAAACTGAGAAAGCTTCCACAATTCAGGCAGAACTACAATATTATCATGTAGAAACAATGGCTGGTACATCTAGATTTAGATCTAGATTCTAGATCTAGTAGCACTGGCGTTTCAAATAGCACGGGAGCTATTCAGAACGCGGTGCTGCAAATAGCACAGGAGCTATTCAGAATGCGGCATTGCAAATAGCGCTTGCCTATTATTTATAAACTATAAATACTGTCAAGAACTGGAACAAAAATAGGCTCTTTTTCGGTAGTCCCCCCCCCCCCCCCCCCCTCCATTTTTTTCGCCTATTTTCCTGTTTCGGGAATAATCAAGTTAAAACTTTACTGATTTCGGCCTAGACCGAATGTTTGAAGAGATACTAATGAACCTCCTTTTGTACTGTCCTCATGAACCAAAATTACTTGTTATGTTAAACGCTTCTTTGTAGGCTAACAGTAAATGACACGGAAAATGGTTCACTTTCTAACTTTCGATAGGCAAATGTTCTCAATGAACGGTTGGTCTTAATGTACTTCCACTTCCAACCAAAACAACAATGGTGACAGTTTGGACAACAGTCAATTTCCCAGACGCCCTTCATGATTGCAATTAACAGCACTAGGCCTAGGTGTAGTGTTTAATATTTAATTTTGCCAAATCGATTACGTCGATCTAGTAGTTTTAACTTATAGATTTCTATCTACTACTAAAAAAATCGAGCTCAATTTGGCAAATTTCGAATACAATAGGCCGAAATAAGGGGGGGGGGGGAATTACCGAAAAAGCACCAAAAAATAATACTCATTCATGTAATTTATGTTTTCGAGAATAATTTTGAGAATATTTGTGCAATGTAAAAATAGCTGTTCAAGTCTAGATTAGATCTACACGCCATGTAGGGGCCTAGACTTCAGTAGGAGGAGGCTGGATCATATGGGGTGGATTTTGAGGATATCAACTCATTTTTTGGCTCATGGAACAGTTGGTAGGTGGCTAGGCACCTTCGCTACATCTTTCTCTGAAGGGGTAAAAAGACCAAGACTGCCAAGAGTATTCCACGGTCTGTCTGGTATTCATGCATACTTTTATCTAAGCCTCTTTAATCCTGGTGATCAGAGTAATAGAAATGCTGGCTAAGCAGGCTAAAACAAAAATCCACTCTTCTATTGACCAGTAGTGTTCCTTGAAATATTTGCACGCTAGATCTATACTACTAAAGGCCTACCTGATGCTGTATCATATTCTTGTAATGGATAACCTAAGAATTGAAAAGCATCTCTGAACAATTACAATCTCGTGATTGAGAATCTATTTGAAGACAATTTATGATTCTTTTGTTTTGAAACAATCCATCATGATAATCTTTTCATCTGATTCTGAGACTTTTCAAGAATCTGGAGCACTAAGTTCACAAAATACTTTTTTGTTGCCGTTAATCTTGAACAATTTTCTTTTTTTTCTATTTGTTCCTGTGCAGATTGAGGACTAATAACTGTGTGACTTGACCAAACGGCTGTGTTGACAGACCATGACGAGTGGCCAGTACATTGTGATTGGAGGTGGCATCGCTGGAGTGTCTTGTGTTGAAGCGGTAAAAACGAACACTTTTTTGTGGTCCTGCTTTTCCTTGCAAATCCTAGAGCTATGTTTATCTGTCAGCTTTAACTTTGGACATTTAAAAAAAAAAAATTGGATTCATTTTTTCCAAGCAAGGTCTAGAGCTATGTTCTTCTGTCAGCTGTGTAATGCTGGAGTGCCAGTGATGACGCACCAAGTCATCGATTAGGGAAAGGAGTTTATTACACATTAGTCTTTTGACTAGGGTATGTTGCTACACCTCTTTATATAAAAAGTGAATGAATTTATGCAAAATAGAAAAAACAGAACTATTTGAGCACCAGGAGTACTTGATAATGGATTATCTAAATTTTCCAAAGCGTGCAATAGAAGAATGTCATCAGTTGCAATAAACTTTCATTTTTTTTTTAACCTTTTAAATGCTTTACAGATATTCCATTAATGCTCCTGCAATACATTATAGATGCTTGTGTCATTCTAATAAATCTTTTTTTCAACTTTTGTTTCAGCTATCTTACTTGGACAAGGATGCCAAAATTACTCTGATTTCTGCCTCTCCACTCATCAAAACTGTTACAAATTATGTACAGGTAGACACACTTCTGTATCTGTACCTACGTTGACATATTATTTGGGTCGCTTTTCACGTTAAATTACTTTTGTACTTTTAAAACATTGCCTGATTTTGTTAATCGTTCAGTTAGTGCTGTTCTTGAGCATGGATTTACTACTTAACAGTAGCCTCTTAATAAGCTTCTTGAGCATGTCTTGCTGAAGTGTCAATGATTTGATAAAAGTCATTGGAAGAGGCAGCGTTCCCATCTCTGGCATGCTTTACATTTAGCTGTGAGGTCTTACCTCTGGCAGTAGAGACCTGAAGCTCTATGGGTGGGTTAACAGTATGTAGATGGCAAGACGACACTTAATTTTAAAGTCCCTTTACTGACAGGAGCATGAATGTTGTTGGTTTTGTCATATGAGTCTAGGGTTGTTCTCACATTTCAGGGTTATACTCACAGGTTTTTTTCTCTTTTCAGCACAATGGGTTTGTCAATTAGTAGCTTAGAAAAGGAGAAAGAGGGCGGGGGGGGGGGGGGGGGGAGAGAGAGAGAGAGAGAGAGAGAGCAGAGCAATCTGCCATCTAAATATTTAGCATGTAGATGGGGCTGTTAAAAAATTTGTAATCTTCACTGATTGCTTCTGTGCTTACTTTCAGACTGAATCCATGTGTGCTTTAAAGTTAAAATTTTGTAATCTTTCATGGCTTTCAGAATTTTTTTTTATCAGTATAAGTGTTTGGTTGCTTTTGATTTGAGCTGCTAAATCAAGTATGTCATTGAGTTATTCATACATCAGTGCTAGCGCGAATTTGATTGTGCAATTTCAGTCTCTGGTGGGATCAATAATGCTGTAGAATACGTTTTCTTCTTGTGAGAAAACTTTTTCTTAGTGTGAAAAAGCGTTTTCTTTGTGTGAAAGAACTGTTTCTGTGTGCTTTTATCAGTAATTAGTGTGTCTGGAATGCAAGGTGAGTCCCACTGTATGTCACGTCTGTTCTATGTGAACATATTATAAACTTAGTTTGAGTTTTGCAAACTTTTCTCTCAGCTCACACAAGTTGCTGAGACATTTGATGTGGAGGAAAAGCCGTTATCTCATGCCGAAGAAAACAGGGACAATGTGACAGTTATGCAGGCTGTTGTGGAGTCGTTAAACACTCAGGATAAAGTGAGGAATAATTGGAGGCTTGTAGTAAATTTTTTTTAACGTGTCATGTCGTGGTGGAATCAGCCGCTCGTCAATTTTTAGGCGTATGTAGTTATTGGTATCATCTTAATGCCTGTTCATCTGTCTATCTTTCTATGAAGTTGAGATCTGTGATTGAAGGGGGTGGGGGATGCCTGATTTCAGAGATATATATTAGTGAGAAGATGGCCCCCAAAGTTGGTGACTTCCATAGCTTGGGATTCCTTGAAAACTGAAAATTTACAGTTTTGTACCGTTAATCAACATTTTTCAGTAAAATCCACATAGAAATTTGTTTTTAAATAGACTTAAGAGAAACTGAAAATTTACAGTTTTGTACCGTTAATCAACATTTTTCAGTAAAATCCACATAGAAATTTGTTTTAAAATGATGTACCAAAAATCAAAATTGCCAAACCCGCAAAAAGTTGTTTTTTTTTAATTTCATTATTTTGACAAGCACCTGATTCTACCACAAGGCCTCTCAAATGTAGTTTTGTCATGCATATATATAGTATAGTCAGTGGAAACTGTTAGTTTCTATCATTTTTTAGAGTTGTTTTGACTTAACTCTTTATACTTTGCTTCTTTCTGGCGATTAAGCTCAGCGTTTATTGTTGGCTGTTTCACTCTTACTTTTGAGCTCTCCAAAGTTTTTCATTGTTCAATTATCAGTCATATTCTCTCTTTTCATATCTTCCTCAAGTAAAACATTTTAAAATAATTGGCGCTTACTTAATTTATTTTTTTAAAAATCAGCCTAGCCTCCCCTTTTGATACTTTTATTCATAAGTTAAATTCAACTCATTCATGGCATAATTCTTTTTGTCAGTTGAAACCATTTGGATAGAATGAAGTTGTGACCCCCTCACCCTCGTGAACCATTTTGAGCATATATGGAAACAAAACGACTTTAACAGATGGTGTAGTAAATATTGTATTGGAAAGGTAATTGAATGTTGGTTTTCATTGATGTTACAGAAACGATATAAAATGGAAATGATGAAACAAACTTTAGACCCTGTTCAAACTGCCAATATGTTGGCAAAATGGAAGTTACCGATATATTGTCTACATGTGTGAGAGGAGTTAAGTATTTATTCAATGCTTTTCATCTTTTCTCATAAAAAAGTGTTGTTTTTTCCTTCCCCAGACTCTAGTCACGTCAGATGGTCAAACGGTCAGCTATGACAAACTGTGTGTTTGTACTGGAGGAAAACCTAAGGTGAAGTATTCTGTTTTGAAAGTGCATAGATGAAAAGGGGTGACGTTTGCTTATACCTAGGGCACACTGCAAATTGGATTCATCAATTTGAGTTGGGGATAAAGTTCTAGATTTCCCTTCATGTAGTGGGAAAATCCTACCGTTTTGGCAATATGCGACTGCATTCCACTAGATTCAACTGAGTTGAATTCTTTTTGTGCCAAAATGGTAGCTTTTGCCCCATCTATGAAGGAAAATTTGTTTGGCCCCCTTATATTGGTTATTGATAATACTCTATTGTCAGATCCAATCAAACTCTTCTCCTAAACATTGATTCATGATAGTACTGTTCTGTTAATTTCAAATAATTTAGAATGTTCTTCTCCTCCAGCCAGATTTGAAACAGCCTTGAGCAATCGTGGTTCACACTCATTTCTCTGCTCAGATGTTCAAGTTTTCTAAAAAAGTTATTCTTAGTCAACATCTGCCTCTTTTTTTCTTTCTGTTTTTCAAATAAAATGAAGCAATTGTATTTCTTCTGCTCCAGGTGATAGCATCAGATAGTCCTGTAGTGGTGGGCATTCGTGACACAGAGAGTGTAAAGGTGAGTGAGAGTGTCATTCGTCGGGAGAATATGTTTGTATTACATTTATGATTTTGTGTCAGGGGAGGTTGGAGGGTGCCACTAGTAGGTCTGTCTTCTTTATGATACTCTCCTTCTGTTATTTGTGTCTATCAGTCTTGCTTTTTTTTAACACTGACAGTTTTTATGCCAGTGAGCTTCTCTTTACTCAAACTAACAAAAAGATGTGTGCTAGAAGACGCAATCTCTTTTTATTGTCGTTGTCAGCTCAATAACCTTTGAACGAAACTACAAAGCGTGGTCTATAGGGGGTGTGCAAAAGCTGATCCTTGGCTAGAGTTTGTGTTTCATCTACTCTACACTGCCGTCATTTTAAGAGTACAGTATTTGCAGTTCTTACAATTTTACAGAAGAGCCAAAAAAAAACAACTGAATGTTTTTACCAGGAAACCAAACTTTTTGCAAACCCCAGATCAATGTTTTTAAGAATACAATTTTGATAATAACTGCCTTATTCTATTTTAAGCAAATGATGTTTTCTTCGTAAAAACATTTCCTTTAAAGTTCTGAAAACTGCTTATACTGTACTTTTAAAAGTGATGGCAGCACAGCACTTATTGTCTTTTGTTTACAGGATTTCCAGGTTAAGATGAAGACCGCAAGAAGAATTGTGATCATTGGAAATGGTGGAATAGCTACGGAGCTCGTGTAAGTGGACTTGAAGGCTCATAAAAATTGTAATTGCAAATGTTTTTACTACCCCGTCAATACAATTCAAATAATTTAGGAGGATGGCTGCGCCAAAACTCCCTGTTAGGGCCTATTTAGACTGTTTGGGATACAATGTCTGAGCAGACAGACAGATGCTCACGATAAGTCACCACCCCAGAAAGAAATCAAACTCATGTCTTGTCTGTGCAATGGCAAAAAGCATAACTGTAACACCACAAATGCTGCTCTTTTGCTTGTAAAAGATTTTCACACTGGGTTGTGCTATAAGGCAAATTTATATGACTATCTTCCTTGGGAGGTAGCTTCAAATACATGACCCATATTTCGCTCTAATTCTGAAAATACTGTCGAAATTAACCAAGACAGCCATCCTCTGCTAATTGATACTCAAATCAGATGCAGGAAGGGGATATGGTGGCTATTTTGTGTCTGATATAATAATGCGAGACCAATAATTTACAAACGTATTCCCTTATCGCAGCTCTTTGTTTCTGTCTCTCCATCTTGCTTTTTCCCAGGGCTAAGTGATTGTTATTGTATCAATGTGCTTGTCTTTACACAAATTATCTTCTTGTGGATGGTTGGCGGGTGCTCTGGTGTGGTTTGCTCCTTCTTTCCTATCAGACATCTATCTTCCTTATCTCCCCTCCTTCTTTTTTATTTGTTTGTTACTCCCTTGTAACACCTCCAATCTTCTGGCGCTCATATGACCTTATGCTGTTGCGAACGCCATAAAACCTTTACTAAAAATAAACTAAATTATCTTCTTGTATCTTCTGTACTCTCTCTACATCTTTACCTTCCCTCTTTTGTTTCTGTCTGTCTATCTTGCTTTTTCCCAGCAGTAAATGATCATTATTATATCTATGTCCGTCTGTTAATGAAACTCCCGCTGCACCTTCCCCCTGTAACTTCCTTAGGTATGAGCTAGAGGGTTGTGAGGTCATCTGGGCCATCAAAGACAAATCCATCGCTCACACTTTTGTGGATGCCGGGGCTGGAGAATTCTTTATGGAGCATCTGAACAAAGAGAAGGACAAAAGTCCGGACGGGCCATCCAAACGACTCAAGTACACCACCCAGGGTAGGATAAATAATAATAGTAATAATAGATAGCACTTGTATAGCTCAAATCCCCGCTCAATAGCAAGCTCTATGTGCTTCACAATCTATACTGTTACCCCAGCAGACCTGAGAGCATTCTGAAACAACCTCATCTTCCTGGGAAGCATACAGTGCAATGTAGTGAGGTCTCTGGTGGATCTGTTAGTGCTTTAACTTATTGTCAGTGAAAGGTTTCGAAGAAATTTCTAGAAGGTCAAAGAAATGAGATGTTCTGGGCGATTTTCTTTCTAGTAGGAGAATTTCAATAGTTTTGTGAATATCTGTATTGGCGTTTAGTGATAATCTTTTAATGTAGGCACCTACTCAGGCACTTAGTATTCAGTGGTCATACCTTATTCAAAGTGTGTTCAGTGTTAAAGTCCTGGGGCATATTTTAAGATTACAGGAGAAGTCTTCAAGGTAAAAGTTTTTGTGTGAGCTACTGGCTGTGGTATAGTAACACAGGTCTACTCCTTGTGACTCATTGAAGATATTGTGCTTACTTACAAAGAAATGAGAAATCATGATCACCAGTATCTTTTTCAGATCTCGGCACCCGAATTAATTTAAGGAAAAAGAACAGCCTCAGATTTTTGCTTCGATTGCAGCAACATATTTTTTGTTGACGTCACATCTTTTCTACTAGTACTGGGAATGAGAGATAGTAGGACTATAATTTGTCAAGGACGTAACGCTTTTCTTTGAGGTGTAATAGTTTGGTTCTTCAACATCACATGTAGAAGACGTGAGTTCGATCTGTGTAGGGAGGTTTTGTTTTATCAAGTCCATCTATTTTCTGTCTATGGGGATGTTGTATCCCTCTCGGCGGTTAAAGCAGCCAGCCTCCTGAATTATCAAAATTGTGTCAAAGGCGAAGTAAAACCTTTACAATTACAATTAAATATTTTTTCTTGATCTGTAGTCAAGAATATATAGGAGAGTTTGTGTAATATAACAGACATACCAATTTTACAAATAAATCAGGAAATCTGAATTTCTGGATTTGTTCGAATCCTGCCTACTTATACATTTATTTATATTTTTATTCTTTGTATATGTCATATTGCAGTTAAAAGAAAAATTGTCTTGATACAAGAAGTAATAGAAAATACGATTTGTAAATTTTGAGTCTCAATGTTTGTTTTTACGAGGTCCAAAAAGTTTTTGGTTTTTGTAACCAGTTAGCAGTTATCATATGTGGGTATTGTATTTTTGTTGTTTCAGAAAGCCAAATCTCCAATGCAGGAGTGATGGGTGGGGCTTTAGGACCGGACTGGGCTACTAATGTGGACATGCATGGGTCACAAAATGTGAGTGTGACTAGTGAATGGCTTGTACTGGCACTGGAAGACCCTCCAAATTAGGGACCTTCACAAATGACATCAGCTAAAATTTGGCCAAAAATGACCCCCTCCTCCCTCCCTTGTCGTCTTCTGTCATCTTTCCCAGGACCCCCCCCCCCCCCTCTCTCTCTTTCTCCCCCCCCCTCTCTCTCTCTCCCTCTCTCCCTCTCTCTCTCCCTCTCCCTTCTCTGTTATGGTTATTTCCCTTTAGGGCGTGCACGGTACGCTTCCCTGAAAATTGCAAATATTTCTGAGTGTTTTTAGTATCTGCTGGGGTTGTAATGGAGGATAAGCGCATAGACAATGCTGCAATCATCATCATCATCATCATCATCATCATCATCATCATCATCATCATCATCAT